CATCTTGCTTTGCCACTTCTACTGGGAGCTTTGCTTTTAGACATTTTCATTGTTGGTGCTTCTAGAATTTGAAGCAGAAATGAAACTCTTGAGGGGGGGGGATTCTTTACATTTTCAGTTAGCCGAATAGCAGTTTACAGTGACTCGGAAACCACACATTTAAATATGTATTTTTAATATGGAGAGCTCTTCCATAGTGTTTCATTTTGCTCTAACTTAGGTGGAGTTTCCAGTTAAAGGGAAACCACATTGGGTGGAAAATGTTGTGTCACTCTTCTTTACCCTTTACTGTAAATCCCTATCTCCTACTTTGCTGTATTACAATGCAACATATTACACAAGAATATTATTGCTCACTTTACACTGACTTTTATGCCAAGATATTTGACAGGAACTACAGCACAATCCTAAACAGTTACATTCTTTTAAATCTCTTGAAACTATGAGTTTAGAAGGGTGTAGAGCTAGTTAGGATAGCACTGAAAGATAAAAACAATAACCTGTCATTTTGTATCAGAAAGCTGATTACATTTAAGAACTATTAAGTGGCGGTTAGTATTTAAACATATACTTCTCACCTCTCATTTCTAAAAAGAGACACCATAGTCAGCACTTTGTTCATCATCCTTTAAGCTGGTCTCACTTTCTGGTGATATGGTTTAGTACAATTTACTATTTGGGTTGGGGACATGATGTATTTATTTTGTTCATAACACTGTGAGGTAAGTTAGGCTGAGAGAGAATGACTGACATCAGGCCACCCAGGGAGATTCAATAGCAGAGTGGAGAATAGGTCTCCAAGATCCCAGTCTGACATCCTAACAATACCACATGGAGTGTTCTCTGCCACTGAGTCATGTTCATGGCATCCACCAGGAGATGGCGTGGAAATTCGTAATGTTGCTAATTCACATTGACAAATGGCTTAGGATAAGATATATGAGTTCCGCTTTTCACTAAAATGTGTGATATTCATGTTTGTTGAGCTGTGTGCAGGTGGAGTACAATCACCTGCTGATCCTGCCCTCTCCCTACACAGACTGCTCTCTTTAGCCCTTTTCACATGTTACAGTGAACACATATACATCCTGCATCATGTACATGTACATATCTGTTCGTAAGAAAGAGCCAGCACACATTCAGTTTACAAATGAAACTAAGGACCAGGACCGGGCTAAATATTTATTTATTTGATTAATTTATATCCCACCTTTCTCTCCAATGGGGATCCAAAGCAGCTTAACATCATTCTTCAATCCTTCATTTTATCCTCACAACAACCTGTAAAGTAAGTTAGGCTGAGAGAGTGTGACTAGCCCAAGGTCACCTGGTGAGCTTCCATGGCATGAGTGGGATTCAAACCTGGGTCTTCCAGATCCTAGTCTAAAACTCTTAACCACTACAACAGACTAGGTTGGGGGTGTCATGGATTAATTACTTGTTGCATGCATTTAAAAAAATCAGTTGTACACTATACACAGACTGTATGTGTATATACTGTAACTTCTGAACAGGGCTTCTGTGAAGTTGATTTGCAGGATACACATAAGCAGACAGAGGAGCCAGAAGGCATAATCCTTCCCGTAATAAACACATTCAAGTATATGCTGAAATGATAGTTTGTACAGGGCTCCTGTCCAGAGCTTGAGCCATGGTTTAAGGCTAATTTCAACAAGGAACCACATTGTTCAGAACTGAAAGCACATGTCTCAAAAATTGCTAGTTCTGCACAGGGCTGCCAGGCCCCTGGTGGGGTGGAGGAGGAGAAGGAGAAGATATTGGATTTATACCCTGCCCTTCACTACCCAAAGGGGTCTTAGAGTGGCTTACAATTTCCTTCCCTTCCCCCTCCCCACAACAGACACCCTGTGAGGAAGGTGGGGCTGAGCTCATACAAAAATTATATAAGATGCTGATGGAAGAATGTATGATGGGAGAAAGGGTGAAAAGAACAATGGTGACATGGGCTAAAGACTTAAATTTTACACCAGAACCAGAACAATGGGTAGAAATGTGGGAATCAATAAAGTTAATGCGAGCAATACCCTATAAAGAGAACATATACAAAATGTTCTACAGATGGCACTGGACACCAGAAAAGATGGCCAAATGTTATGTAGTAGCCAATAAGAATTGTTGGAAATGTAAAAAAAATGTTGGCACCTATATGCATATGTGGTGGAGGTGTGAGAGGGTTAAAAAATATTGGAAAAAAGTTTTTTGCATGATAAAAGAAATAATAGGGCTACCGGTACCTTGCAATCCAGAGACAGCGTTACTAAATATGATTCCAGACATGTATTATAGTACAGAGAAATATGTAATCATATACTTCCTTACGGCAGCAAGAATATTGTTAGCTAAACGATGGAAAGATGAGAATGTACCTTCAGAAAAAGAACTAATTGAAAAAATGATAGAATTAGCAGAAATGGATAGATTAACTTTAAGATTACAAGGGAAAGATAATGAGATATTCAAAAAACGATGGAAAAGTTTTTATATGTGGATAGATAATGTAATCATGAAAGACTCACAAGAACGAACAATGTAAGACGAGTGTTAAATGTAATTAATGGAAAATGTTAAATAAACCATTTAAAAAAAAAAGGAAGGTGGGGCTGAGAGAGCTCTTTCAAGAACTGCTCTTGAGAGAACAGCTCTGAAAGAACTTGTGACTGACCCAAGGTCACACCAGCAGCTGCATGTGGAGGAATGGGGAATCAAACCTGGTTTTCCCAGATTAGAGTCTGTGTTCCTAACCACTGCACCAAACTGGTGAAGAATTCCCATCCCCAGTTCCTATTTCCCTTTGCCACTCAGAGCAGTGGTGACAGAAAAATTTAAAAATGGCCATTGGGTCAACAGCAAGACATCATTTCCAGGGAAAATCTAGAAGTGAAGTCAGTCCTCTCTAAGAATCGCTGGAAGTTCTATAGTTTTACCATAGAGTTTCTGAAAATTCCTAGAGAGGTGTGACATCATGTTTAGGTTTTCCTGGAAGTGACATCATACCAGTACCAATGGCTGCCCCCATGTCCCTTTCCCTGCAATCTCTCACTGCTTACCAGACTGTACCTGGCAACCCAAGTTCAGCATTGCTCGTGTGTGTTTGTGTGTGTGTGTGTGTGTGTGTGTGTGTGTGTGTGAGAGAGAGAGAGAGAGAGAGAATACTGTTACATCTAACACAGAAGTAGAAATGTCTGCAAATTTCTAGTGTGTTGTATGTGTTGTGACATTTCCACTGGCACACACATATGATTTTATTACTTTATGCATAAGCAATACAACGGGATCTAGAAAGAGGCTCTGGGGCAGTGCTCTGGCTTTGGGCAAACAGTGTCAATTTGCTGTGGTGACCTCAGCAGGGTATAATGACAGAGTCCACTGTTTTCTCCAGAGGAACTGATCTCTGCTACCTGAAGAGCAGTTGTAATTGTGAGTAATCTGTAGCCCTCACCTGGAGATTGGCAACAATTGTTACCCAGGACAAAATGGCTGGTTTGGAGGGTGGAGTCTATGGCATTCTACCTGTCTGAGGTCCCACCCCTCTGCAAACCCCACCCTCTCCAGGCTCCACCCCTCAAATCCCCAGGAATTTGTCAGCATGTAGTTGGCAACCCCATCTCCTTCCCAGCTAGCCACCAACCTACCATTATCTGCCCCTTTGACTTCAGCTGACTTCTGCCCTCCCTTCTGCAGAGCAGTTGTAATACTGAGT